TCAGCAATTAGAAACTACAAGTTCCGATTTGTTGCACAGAATTGTACCATTGAAACCTCATGAAAAACACGAAATGCATATATATTATGTACACAACGGATGTTTAGGAACAAAAAAAAAAAATGCGGAAATGTCTGTGCACGCCTATTCTTAAAGGGGCGGACCAAAGAAATACCGGGCATACATGTGCAATAGAACCATTATTTGTTTTTACCCTTTCGAACTTGAGGTCAATTGACTCACATCACACATGTGCAGTTCATTTTTCTAGTCACATGACAGACTATTAAACAGGCACACAACTCATTTCCGTTCCCTCGATTGATGATGTCCAATATGTCGTAATTTTTCAGTTGATGACGTCACATAACTGTGACGTGATTTTCGGTTGAATTTATCTATTTTTGAGTATTTCATTGCAGTTATGATGACTATTGTACCTTCATTTTCGTTAAGTTGGCTTTTCATTTACTTTCTTTTGCCAGTAATGTGGGAAATCTGTTACTAAAAATCATCGTGATTTGAAAGAAATTCTAAACTTGATGAAAATATGCCGAAATCTCATTTCCTTAAAAAATATATTGATGACTCCTTGATACGTATGCCTTTTTTTCAATACATTCGTTTATGTCATATACCACGTTTATTCCAGTTAACGACTTCAAAATGCTAACGCATAATTCAGGATGCATTTCTTTATTCATTAGTATTATTTCACAGTTATTGTGTCAGTTTAACTTTTTAAATTTCTTTCTCATTTTCTTTCCATGTGATTTCTTCACTAGCACTGGATACATGATATCTAAAAAAAAATTCATTAAACTTTTTATATTAAATTTTTTTTATTAAAAATTTTAAATTAAGGAAAAGGTATAGAATTTAAAAAAATAAACTTGTTTTGACCTTCATTTTTTTTCGGAAAACTCCGTTGGTTGATATAGTCTTGCGTTTTGTTTTGTCAGTTTTGAGGTACTTCCCTTTTTTGAATTTACGTTGAAGTTCGGTTATAGCAGTTTTTAAAATAATTGATGATTTCGTTTTGTCTATATTAAATTGTTCTTATTAATTATACCTCCTTTTTTTTATACAATTCAGTTATATATTAAAATATTTTAATATTTTTTTCAAATTTGTAAGATATGATATGAAGATATGAATGATTTCTTTTACAGCAATTTCGTTAACAAAGCATGGGACTGGTAATTTGTTTTGCACTACTGTTGACCACGCCATATTTTTGTCAAACCATTGATCAGCGTGATAAAGTCTGTTCTTTCAACACTAAGTGCAGGTGTTGGACTGATCAGAATTTGCGGTATGTTGATTGCTCAAATGCAAACATGACAGATATACCAAACTTCCCACCAGAAACAGATATTCTCAATATGAATTCTAACCATATTGAGATTCTGTGGAATGACACATTTGAAAATTTAACAAATCTGTTGGAGTTGGATTTGTCACATAATACACTGATACGTATAGAGTCAAATGCGTTTATAGGTCTAGGAAAATTACAGAAACTATCGCTGGAAGCCAATTTCTTAAATTATACTAAACAATCGTTTGATACAACTGTATTGAATCCATTGCAATCGCTCCTGTTTTTAAATGTGAAACATCAAGAAATACTGAACATCCTACCTGGTAAAATGATAAAAAAACTTCAATATTTACGACATTTAGAAACTGATCTGATTTGATCAACAGAAGGCATAGCCTTCGACAAAGAGTTTTCTTCCCTTACACGTCTCAAACTATTGAAGGCAGGGACATGTAAAATGGAAATGGTTAACAATAATACGTTTGTAAATTTACCTTACTTGGAAATAATACATTTATCCAAGTGCATAATATCCCAGTTTGGAAAGGGATGTATTTTTTGTCACTTAAATAGTTTCAAATATCTCGATATATCCAAAGTTGCATGTGATTTCAACTACTTCAGATTTTTAGCAGTTGATTTCGAAGAGACAAAAATAAAAAAAGATAATTATGTCAGAAACATTTTATTACACAGCATACCCCCCTTTCCATATATTTGATTATTTAGAAAAAAGTGGTATCGAAGAAATTTATATGAGCAACAACGTCTTCGTTGGTACACATAAAGGTATTATTGGATTTATACCAAGTACGCTTAAAATGTTAGATTTTTCAAAAACAATTTCTTTCACAAGTAGCTTTTCAGATGCGTGATTTGCTAACGTTGAATTTAAGACAAAATCAACTGGGGATAATGTTGGATAAAAGTGGATACAAAAATCCAGGTCCAATCGCATTGCAAAACGTTGACTTATCACAAAACGTGAGGATGTATCCCCGATAAGTGTTGTTGACACATTTATGTAACCTTTTTATTTTTATCGCGTACTGCCACAAAAGCATCACGTGCTCGATATCTTGTTTCTTTGGCATTTTCATGTTGATCACCAATATATTTATATATATATGTACTTTCATATCTTGTATTGTGCACCTTATTTATGGGACTATGCAATTAAAGACTGAAGCCCCAGAGATGTAAAATCACATCTCTCAACCCGATCAGACTTGGACTAAAAAGTAACTCTCCTGTATTGTTCCAAAGTAGGACTATTAGACTGAACAGGTCTGACTGGGTCGATGCCACTGCTGGAGGTTTTTTTTTATCCCCGAGGGTATCACCAGCCCAGTAGTCAGCACTTCTGTGTTGACATGAATTATCATTGATATGGTCATAATTATAAATTAACTGTTAACAAAACTTTCAATTTTTGAAATACTAGCTTTTCTAACTCAGGAATAGATTATCTTAGCTGTATTTTGCTAAAGTTTTAGGGATTTTTGGTCCTCAATGCTTTTCAACTTCGTACTTTATTTGGACTTTTTAACTTTTTTTTATTCGAGCGTCAGTGATGAGTATTTTGTAGACGAAACGCGCGTCTGGCGCAAATACAAAATTTCAATCCTGGTATCTATGATGAGTTTATGTACTAAGTGATATAGCACTAGCAAAGTAAGACTTAACAGGCTCCTTATGTGGTATAGCACAATCATAGTCCAGCGTCTGTACAGAATAACTAGGAGTACCTGTACTCATGTCAGGTGATTTATTTTTAGACCCAAAATCTTTAAAAAAAACCAATTCAATCTGTTCAATCTTGTGTTTATAATCATGCAACTTTTTCTTAATTTGTTAGGAACCAAACAATGACTTGTTTCTAGTTTCAATAAATCGTGTTGGAAACAAGAGAACCAAAAACAATGTTAAAATCAAGTCACAATAAAAATACTTCGGCGACAGTGACACACAGTTCTACGGAACTTTAAGACGAAATTGTACACATGCTTGTTAAACCTATGTCTCAGATATTCTAAAGTTTTTCTTGGTATATATGTTATTTACCGGTTTATACAACCAGTTTATAAGAGTTTAAGTCCTCTGTCTGTTTGCAATATAAATATTCTGCTAGGACACTAATCAAACAGCTGGGAGAAAGAGTGATTAATCTGCTCTTTTAACCAGGTGTTAACCTTTGACCTTATCCGTAGACTGACTTTCAAAGACATCTTTAACAATATGTGATAAAGTCTTATTCATTACAATCAAATGACAAGTGATGCAGGACCTTGCTTTGTTACAAAAAAGGTTTATCAGTAGTAGATTATGAAATCATGAGTGTACTGGTACAAGTTTCATTAAATTATCTTCTTCATCAGTTTTTAAGATACAAGTATCCAATTTATATCTCATATGTCATATTTCGCGATATGTTTAATTCCAATTCAGTTATGAAGAACACAATTTCATCTGTAATTACAGATGTTTCCGAGTAAAGGCTTCCACATATACACTAGTCTAGGGTTTAAGTTCCAACACAAAATGATAAAGGTGTAACGGACAGACTGACAAAATGCAACTAGCTCGACCCAACAATAATGGTCGTTTTAAAGGGGTAAAAAAATTCTAAATCTAGCCTGGACTATTATACTATTTTAATAATCCCAGATCTAGCTCGCAGGTGCAAAATGATAGGAAAACTCATATTTCAAAACATCAAACGAATGGTGTAAATCATTGCAAATTTAACCAAAGTATTATCGTTCTGTCCCGAATATACTTATAAGCAAATGGGCTGTAGGCTGATATAATGGAACTTGATTTCTGTATCTCAAATTGTAATCCCAAATCTCACAAGATGCAATTTTAAAATATCACATTATAAAAGAAAGCTTTCCTGTGGATCCGGGTAAAATCTAAATATATATTATTTTATAAAGGGGAGCAAGCGGGAGTAACTTTATTTTTATAAACGAAATTACACAGGCCAGGGACAAGGCTTTTATCTGTAATCAAATAGTACAGTAAAATACAATTTTGTTGAACAAGTTTAATAAAGAAAAAACAATACTGGTTATCCGCAAACTGACAATGCTTAATTATTAAAAAAAACATTTAAACTCAACTCATCATTTACTCAAATAACCAGCAAACCGCTTTCTAAATAAATTACGCCTAAATACGCAAATATTTAGTTTTTTCGCTGTAAATTCTGACTTAAACTTGTTAGTTTAAGTCAGTTTCAGTCAACTTAAATTAACATCATGTGTTTGGGCACTACCTACCTCGAAACATACACATTTTCTTAAATATACAGAAGGAACAACAAAATTTGTTATAGATTCTTCACTGCGACCACTTTTTAGAAATCGTGCACTCGAAAAGCTGAGATTGGGATGATTTCCAGACAATTATTACACAAACTAAATTTCTCTGTTAGGCTCTCTGATTGGTTGAGAATGGGAAACGATTTGAAATGCTTATTCGACGTATACCATGTCAATGAAAATTCATGTGAAAAAATGTTCTCAAAGTTATGAAAATTGATAAAATAAAATAAACCTTTCTAAGAAAACAACTATAAATTACTAATAATGAAATGAATTAATGAAATGAGTTCGAAAACAGTGCACATATTAAAAGCTGAACCTTTAAAACATTTAAAACACAAGTAACATTATTTAAGGTATGACAAATCCAGATTTTCTACCTGGATTCAAAGATTTATAAAACGCTGCTGTTGAATAAAGGTCTTTATATCTCGCAGTCGGCAATATATATCTCAAACAAGACGAAAAATCCATATACCTAAAACAAAATATGCAACTTATTATTAGAACTTATTATCAAAAGATATTAATCAATATTATTTAAAGCCTAGACAAACTGTTCGTTGTATCTTTTCATTTCTTGGACTGATCCATTTTCGAAACAAGTTATAGGTGACAGACCAGAGGATTACGTTAGAAAATATCCCAATATGGCCCCGATTAGAATTTACAGCAAAAGTTTCAAGTTGTCTCAATTATCACAATCTGCTCCCTTAGCTAACAACATTTCCACTATTTGTAAATTCGCTTTTAAAAACGCAGTCTGTAAAAGTGAAGTGCCATGTTTGTCACATTGTTTATAATCTACCCCTCTGTCCAGCAACATCGATACTATTTCTTTATGACCATGTCTACAAGCAAACCTTACAGGTGACTCACCAACTTTGTTACATTTATTAAAATCTGCTCCTTTGTCTAACAACATCCTTACTATTTCTGTGTCACCCTTTATACAAGCCACCATTACAGGTGACTGACCACTTTCATCACACTCATTAAAATCTGCTCCCTCGTCTAATAACATCCTTACTATTTTATTGTTACCATATTTACAAGCAATCATTACAGATGACTCATTATGATTGTCACATTTGTTATAATCTGCTCCTTTGTCTAATAACATTCTTACGATTTCCGTATTATTATAACGGCAAGCATTCATTAAAGGTGTCAGACCACAATTGTCACATTCATTATGATCTGCACCTTTGTCTAACAACATTCGTACTATTTCTGTGTCCCCATATACACAAGATACCATTATAGGAGACTGACCCTTTTCGTTACATTTATGATAATCGGCTCCATTGTCTAACAACACACCTACTTCGCCTGTATGGCCATATCTACAAGCCACCATAAGAGATGTTTCATCATAATTGTCACCTTTGATATCTATCTCTTTGTTTAACAACATCCTTGCTACTTCTTTTTGACCATTTTTACATGCAATCATTAAAGATGACTCACCTCGATTGTCACATTTATTATAATCTGCTCCTATATCTAGCAAAATCTTGACTATTTCTGTACAGCCATATCTACAAGCCATCATTAAAGGTGACCAACCATGATTGATACATTTATTATAATCTGCTCCTTTGTCTAACAACATTCTTATTACTTCTGTATGACCGTATCTACAAGCAATTGTAATGGGTGATTGACCATTAATCCCTAATCGGTTAACATCAACACCATGATTGCAACACCATTGAATCATTGGTATGTCTCCAATCGAACAACAATATAACATGACATTGTCACATACAACATCACTATCATAAGGCTGAATATAAAGCATGCGCAAAGCTTTATTGTACCTAGCATCATCGGTATGCACTAATTGTTTTTGGTAAAATACATCCAGTTCATTCAAATAAACCAGGAATCTCTCTCTGAACTGATGTATCTTCATGTTGCTATTATTAAATACATCTTGTAGTTTTCCCTTGGACCAGTCATCAATAATTCTCTGCATGTACATTTGATGATACTTTGAGGGAACAATTGTGATAAACTGATCCGTGTCCTTTTTTCCTTCAAGCAAAAATCTTTCCTGAATCAAACGGTTGTCAGCATTTTTGATCAAACAAGCGATAATCTTTTTTCCAAAGTATGTTGCTAAAAAGTCAAAAATTTTATCATGTATAGCTGTATAGAAGCTTTTTGTTTTTAATACATTTGTATGTTTTTCTATTGTGCGGTCTGTTTTACCTTCGTCATCAACCATGACTGTATCGGTTTTTCTAGATAGATATGTAATGATTTGTTTCCTTAATAATGTATTTAAAAGTGATTCCAGTTCATCCTTTAAAATAAGTCTTGATGTCCCTCTATCCAGTTTACACGCCTCACACGTGTTCGCAATGACAGTTTTTATATTTTCGTCAATCTCTTCCGTTAATATGTCTTCATCCACCTTATTATTGAACATGACACATAAAGCCAAGACGCAGAATTTACCAAAAAACCCTTTCTTATGTAGCTGGTCAACCTGTGCTTCATAAACTGAAAAAGGATTCTGAAAAAAATGTTTTATATCATGTGTAGGATTTTCATAATACAATTGACATAAAAGTGGAAAACAATCGTACAAATCATAATAATCTGTAACCTGGTTTGCTTTATTGGTGAGGTATAGCTCAGCTATTGAATGTTTTTCAGTTGTTAACAAGCACATGTTATCTGATAACAAATTGCAAACACATGACTTAAAGATAGAAAGGGTGTCAAACTTGTCATCCTGGAACACTTGTAATCTACATGCTACAATTATTTTTGTTTGTTTATCTTTTAGAACCTCGTTTATACGCCCAATTACTGGTTCCCAAAGTTTGATATCAGTCTGGTGTAAAGAAAAGTTCCCACATAAATCATCAACAACAAACAATGTTTTCTGGTTTGGATTGTAGTATTTGGCAATATCACCTGGATCTGTAACTATAAGTATGTCGTATCCATCTGCACCCATTTGTAAAGCAACGTGTTGGAGGATGGCAGTCTTGCCCACGCCAGAACTAGCTGTTATGGTTACACAACTATTCTTCTGTATAGCATTCAGTACTTGCAGGGCAGCTCTTGTGTTGACAAACATTTTCTCCTTGTTTTTCCATTTTTCAAGATCTTTTTTTATTTGTGCTAAAATGTAAATTAAAGAAAAGTCAATATGTTTTAAAAGATTGAAATATCACAAGATCATGTTAATTCAAGTTGAAGTTATTGATATAACTTACAAGATAATGCTACACCTAAAGCAAGATTTTTATTAAGATCAGTCTATATGACTACTCTTATGTTTTTTATGATCATCTTTATTGCGTTGCCATTTTCAGATATAAATTATATAACAACTTATCATTTTTATAATTTTTTTTCTCTCGATTGTGTATTATATCAAACCATATAATATCACAATGTAACGAGTTTCCAAAACTGCTAATGGCGTTTTACATAGTTACAGTAACAACGCTGTCCGAGGTAAGGAGGGAGCAGAGCGCTCACACACATGTTTATATTTTCCGTTTAAATAGTTTTCACAATTTGTCATGTCTAGACTTAAGATGACTATACGGTATGTTGTTTGTTCATTATTGAAGGCAGTACGGCAAACTATAGTTGTTTAAAAAAATACACATGAGTTGGATACCCGTCCTATAGGTAATCATGCAACACCTCTTATTTTTAAATTACGCTCAGTCAAAACGTCACAAGCTGTTAAATTAAAGATTTTAAACTGAAAATATGTCACTTGTGAGTTGCGATACAGATAGATATTATTGGGCACTAAAATTGTGATGGTGTGACTGTTAAACGTTTGTAGTGTTAATTTCAGTCGTTGATCGCCTTTTCTCCGTAGGAACAATTTTTAAGGACCACACTCCTGTTAAAAAAGTACGTATATTTTAATATTCCCTACCATAACGTATTAACTGATCACCGTAAACGCAATATGTTGGGGCATTCACAGTTCACAGGCATATATGAAATACAAGCACTCACTGAAATGTGGTTTATTGAGTGACAAGACAACCTCAAAATCTCTTAAAGTGAAATAAAAGAACATTGTATTAGAGAAGGTTTCATATAAGCCAAACCTTACCCCAAACGTTTGTCCATTCATTTAAATATTTGTCAACTCGAATTGTAGTAAAAATAAATTATTGTAACATTCTAGGACCTTATCTGAACATTAAATGACAAGACCCCAAATGATGCCATTTTGGCATTTTATTTGTTGTTTTGACTTAAATAAAGAAGTTTGAAGCTAAAAGCAATAATATTAAACAAAATCTAAATCTAGATTTACGAAAATTTTCCGGACTAATGTCTTATGAATATTTAAACGATGTTATTTCCTTGATTTTTTTATAACGTTGTGAATTTTGAATTGAAGGGGCCAAATACGTGGCCTTATCGCACCTTCTCCTTTGTAAGTAGTCATAGGTGAATATATTATAATTAGAATTTTATGATAAAGTGTTTTTTTTTTATTTTACAACCTAAGATCTGGTTTAAAACACAACTCACTCATCCTGTTGGTAGCTAGACTGCTGTTTTTTTATGAGTATTTACTTTTACATCATATGGTACACAAAACCTTTTGAGGAGATTTGTGCGCACCTTCTCGTTTTCAACAGCTTTATGGATTTCAACGAAACTTTGCCATAATTATTACTTGGATGTCGACGATTAAATTCCTTGCATATGACATACATTTATATTTTATACTATAAATATAAATAGAACATGGGTGGTAAAATTCAGTTTTCGGCTAAAATCTCTAAAACTAAAGCAGCTATAGAGTACTGACAAAGTAAAAGTTGCATAGCAGGTCAGAATCTATCGACCAAATGTTCACGGAAACAAATTATTATGGACTTGAAATGTTTGTTTTAAGCAAATTTCCTTTTACTATATCATGTTAAGAAACGAATGAAGATTGGGAGAAACAAAACACTATAAGCGAAATTTTCAACTATTACTCGCAAAAGTAGGATGTTTACCTTCTTTTTGTAGTTTTGAACTATATTCTACCACACTATCATATATAGATAAGCTGTTAACAGAAAACATGATCGCAAATGGACATACAAATAAGTCAACATGACCGAAAACATCAGTGGACACCCCACGTAAGTTATTGTCGTTAAATGACAATTGTCACCATTTGTTGAATTTTCGGCGAGGACACTTTCTATTGATAATGTTAAATGTCTGACGTGTTATAAGGGATATTACCATTAAATGACTATTTCCTTCACACTATTCATACTAAGCATTCACACATATCAACCATCCCGATCAGTGTTAACCTCTACATTCTAAAAGAACAAACCTGATCTTCGAGCTTATAAAACTTTTTATAATTTATCGCGTATATATAAAAATCCTTTGTTAGTCTTGTATGATTTTCAATTTTCGTTCATTTATATGTTTTGAAGCTTAGTATGACGTCCCTATTTCGTTGAACTAGAACACATTTTTGTTAAGGGGCCAGCTGAAACCCGCCTCCTGGTGCGGGATTTTTCTAGCTGTGTTGAAGACCCATTGGTGGCCTTCGACTGCTCTTTGGTCAGGTTGTTGTATCTTTGACACATTCCCCTTTTCCATTCTCAATTTTATTATCCAAACGTTTACCTCTAACATTCCAAGGCACTGTATCCTGTTGATAATTCTCCACCTTTTCTTGTAGCAATGCATGAGATTTTTTTACTCTTTCATGATCTTCTTTTAGCAGTGAATGGACTTTTTTCCCTTCATCGTAATCTTTTTGTAATGAATCATGGGTTCTCTTCATTTCTATATGAGACAACTTTAAACTTTCCAATGACCCTTTTAATTCCCTGATTTCATCATTGGAATGTTTGATTTCAATCATTATTTCTTGATTGGTCTGATCCAAAGGTTTGGTTTTCAAATGATCACATTCATTTTTCATAATACGTCCTCCTAATCTATCAATGGCCTGTAACATATATGATAGCACTAAAATTGCAAAAGATACAAAACATTTAAGAGAATAACAAAACAAACAAATGCTTATATTTGATGGCTATAACTTGGGGAGATTAAGGAATATATCACCTAATTGATCACTAGTCTGGGTTGTTATACACGGTGTGTCGATGCATGAGTGGATCGTGCGAGTTGAGAATGGCTTTATTTAGAATAACTGCTGTTATATATAAACATTACCAAGACATATGCATTTATATCCTTTAATTACATACCTTAACAGGGAATGCATACTAACATTAATTATGCCCTCTTTTACACATATACACTTACTCAAATATTTTCAACACTTCGGTCAGATGATACCATCTTTAATAGCTTTTATTGATAGGAGATCACATCCGGTCACGGATTCTGAGACTATGGTACGGTTTTGAAGAATAAAAACACTAGTGACTGATTTGCATAAGTGCTTTAATTTATTTTTGTGTTATGGACAGTACTCCATGTAAGGATGACACGGTCTAATTTAGCTATTTATTATTTATTTCGGCATTACGAGCTTTACATGACAGATGTAAGTTAAAAGATAAATGCATTAAGCATCATTTGAAGTAATTGTTGGGTCGTTTGTCAACTGAAGACGATGTCCTGTTTGATTGTCAGGGATAATTTTCGAAAGTTTAAAAACACGTCGGTATATTATTTATATGTTACATGTTTTTTTTTGCTATAAGTATAGTCTGTCTTTAGGACTCTCGTAAAATTTTAGTGAAAGGGGTGTCCGACTTCTCTTTTATTAAGGTAATTTTATGAATAAAATAATCAATATGCCTAAATTTTGATTGCAAAAGGAATAAAAAGCAATAAAAAAATGCCTCCCGTTGTAGCACACGAATATTTTTTTATAGCACGCCTTCTGTGTTGTTATGACTCATTTGAAATGTATTCACTTGACTCTTATTTTTAATTGTTTAGTACCGTGATTATTTGTTATCTTATTGTTATCAACATGTAGCCTACATATATACACGTATATATAAAGTTTATTATGAAGAATTGTTAGCAAAACGCTGTTACTCTAGGGTGTGGATACAATCGCGATGGTCCTCTCAGGTTACCAGTGTATTGTATGACATTGATTGATATGGACAATAGAAGGACAATAGATATCTTGTTTTCGACTTATGAGGTTGAAATTCCCTTTGGTATCGTTCGTCTCTGCTATACAACAATATGTGGTTAAAAGAATGTTACAGCGGACAGTACCATATGAAACTCAGTTGTTTGTTATTTTTACCATCATCTACAGTGATGAAAAAAAATGCCTATCAAAATTTTAAAAAAGTTTGATTTTTTCTGAAACATAAAATGCATTCAATTTTAATATACAAATTTCCAAGTGCACTGTTTTATCTGAACAGAGTAATTGTCTAGGAGTAAACACAGTTAGCGTTGTTCATTTGTTATGATGAACCATAAAAGATTTTATTTTAAATGAAAAATTACAAATATCTCTAAGCTCCTTTTTATATGATTTGAGTATAAACTCGTTTATGAGATGCAAAAAATCCTGAATTTTGCACTAATTATGCACTCACATTAATGTTCAAATGCCATGGAAATGAACGTGAACAATTCAAATATACAAACTCTATTATTTTACCTTTTCTAATTCAGATAACGTTTAGAATGGAAATGGAGAAGAGTTCCATTTCTTTTGTTTGATTTTAATTGGATATCAGCCTGAGCATAACAGAAGTAGAATCCTTCAACAGCATTTCACAATACATGAATCTGCTAAATACATGATTCGAATATACTTATACTATTATTTTAACTAATCGTGAGGTTATTTATGCCAATGAGCGGCTAATATGTTCTTATAGGACAACAATATTACACGATGGAAGATAGGTCATTAAAATACCAAATAGTACATATTCCACATAGACATACATTAAACTAAAGTGGACAGAAAATAAACAAGTAGAAAAAGATTACATGAGAGGAAAATGTGCACTCTTAATCTATTTCATAGAATTAAAAACAGTTAAAGGTTAATTCTAAGAAAAAGTGTTTACTCCTATTTAAGAGTCATAATAGTTATTGGTAGCTGAAGAGTACAGATTCAAACTGCTGAATTGTTTAAAAAAATCTTTTTTTGCCTGCAAATGAAAGTGCCCAAGAAAAAAACAAAATATTTACTGAACCCAATTAGTAAAATTGCACAAAAACTGTGTTGACGGTGATGTTAAAACAAATATATTTCATGCTTTCAGTACTTTTATAATTTTAAATTTGGTATGATGCAAAGGTGTTTGTGAGTGGATTTAATTATATTTGTTTTTATTCCAGTCAAAACAACCAGAACAAATGATATGTATTTTTGAAGATACAATAATGACTTTTCCGATTTTTCCTTAGGATATATCTAATAATAAAAGGTATGAATTTCAACCGCATTGGTTGAAAGATTGCACATGCACAAAATGTAAAGCTTGCATTGTTAAATAAGAAAGAACAATAAAACAAGCGAAACATAACCTTTCTCTTAAACCAGAGATCCAAAGGCCATTAGTCGTTAATCGCACTGAAATAATCCTACATAGTAAATGTGTGAACACATTTAGGAATAAATCATTCCTGCCAAAGCTGGTGTGGATTTGCACTTTCGCTTCAGAGAAAGTATTTTTCATAGTTTAGTAACGTTTGAGGCAATGTTTAAAAGCTGAAGAGATCATCAATGTAAACAACCTTTAGTTGAAGTTTCAAGTTTCAAGTTTAAGACAAAGACTCAAACAAGAGTATATGAAAATGAAAAAATGAAATTAAATGGTTTAAACGGAATTTTGCACGTCAAAAACACACTGTATTATCAGTTGTTACTTAAAGGGGCATTGGCTGTCAAATGGTTTTGAAAACATCTCGACAATTACCTATACCAAATGCTGACAAAAACTTGTAATGCTCTTAAGGTTTGGTTAAATAGCATAAACAATGATATTCGCATATTCGCAATAGCAATACATACACCAGAGATATCGTCCCAGGCAGTATTGAAGAATGTGATGTCTATTTTACCATCATCAAGATGAGCTAAGAAGTTCCTGTAATATTTTATTCTTGCCAAATCAGCTCCTGGTGTGGTCTCTGTAGTTGCTGGTAATTGGTCATATCCACCAGCAGGAGGAATCATGGGAGTCAGATTTCGAAGTAATGTTATCATCAAAGTGATATCAAATGTTTTTGAATCTGGGACATCTAAAACAAAAAACACAAAACACATTATGTCTGTAAGAACAGTACTCAGGTTTAGGTATTATGATCATCTTAGTGTGGCAGTAAAGGAAAAGGTATTCTGTGGGTTCTTAAATATGTCTTAAGGCAACTTTCTGATACTCCATCAATACAGAATTGCTATAAGACTGAATCATTAATTATGTTTTGATTACAATTTTAATGTATTTTTTTCTGAAGCAGCACATGTTAAAAAATTGCTCCAAGTGATGGGATACTAGCACAAAAAAGTTTCTCATGAGGACAGTATACATTTGTTTTATTCAATGATTATTTATAAGACACCGTTATACAATGATGAATACGACAACAGTGAAAATAAAACTAATTTTTAGAAAATTTCGATTGGAAGAGGCCCGTTTAATGTTTAAACTGCACACACCACAACACAAAAGAATTCTTATGTTGTATAAGTACATAAACATGCAAAACTCTTAAAAAAATTAATTTTACGATAACTTTTGCTGTTGGTACCTTAGTTTCTCAATAACGTCTACATTTGTCGACGGAAAAAAAATAGAGGTATGTTTAAAATCAGGTACGTACCGACAATAAACTCATCATAAATACGAAGCATTGACTAAAGGCCATTGATACCATGTCAGTACAAATAGTCAACTAGCAACCGTATTTACTAAGTGCTAGAATATAAAAACAGCTCTTACAAATGTATGATTCCGAAGCGTCTTTCTGGAACAACCTTCATTTAGAACGAATAAAATAATGTTTTGAAAGCCAATGGTGTATAAGTACGTAAACACTTGAAACTTTATGACCAAAGGGAACCTACAAATTAGTTTAATGACAACTTTGTACGAGAGAGTCTAATTACTTTTGGCTTCATTAAAGACTGTAAAAATAATATAAATTTATTTGGCCGAAAACATAAATCTTTACATACAAGTCATTACAATAATATAAAGAACAAATACCAATACATATACAAATACTAAAACTTATTCAGATATAGCTAGAAAAATACATTTAATGGCGGGCCACAAAAATTAAATATCCGCCGCATAAGTCACTGATGCAAAATATGCAAAAAAAAAAAAAAAATAAAAAAAAAAAAAAAAAAATATTTATCAAACAATATAAAAAGGGAGGGAGGGTGGGAAATTTTTCGATCTTATTACTCTAAAGAAATCTAACGTAATGACTAGGAAAAACAATTCACTTTAAAACTAAAAGGTGGAGTGAACACAAATCAAAATCAGTTAAGCGAGAATATCAAACGATCGACCAAAGGGGGGTAACTAGAACATATTTCGCATCGTAATTACTAGTTTTTTTTGAAAAAACAAACCTACTCTCACAATAGTTTCAAAGTTTATCAAGGCAAATTAAATAGAGAAATGTCTAAAAAAAAGTTTGTGATGAAGCACTGATTACTGAGTTAATGATTCTATTGGAGACTCATAACCAACAACCGTGACGACCCAATACTAGAAATGAAAACTACATTTTAAATATGTATAATTCCTACGCGCTTCTATGGATTCACCTTCATCATTGACGGTTATAGCTTACTATTGAAAGCAAATGGTGAATAAGAACCTAAATATGCGAACAGCTCTATGACCAAATAGGATATAAAAATAATTGTTAAATTCATCCTATTATATGATTGTTGTTAAATAAATACTATTTTAATCAGCTTACCAGTTGAAAAACGTACAGTGGTTTTAGAGAAGAATTTGTTTATGACTCAAACTTACGGTTAGTAATGGCAATAACTAATAAACCCCGTGGTATTGTTTGGCATTTCATTGTGGTTCTTTTAACCAATTTTCTTTGTTTTGCCAAAGGTATGTTTAAATAAACATCATTTTGATATAAAACTTTTATAACTAGTTGACCAAATAAACTGTAATATAGTTAGTTTAAAAAGTGTTTGAATTATTTAAAATTCATCCCCACATTTCAAATGTTAAGGTTTTGGCGTTCCTGGTGATCCAAAAAAGCACTTTGGACGGATGAACTTTAGAGATTGTGCAAAATTTATTTGAAGGTGTGGTCGGTGTATAGCAATTGCTTATAAACTCAAATGTTGTTGTCTCGCTTAGATTTATTGAAAAAAGTTCGTGCCCTGCTATTAAATTATAAAAAATCTAATATATATCAAAACTTGATATGATAGTTTTTTTTTTAATTAAAATATGCATTCTTCAAATTTTATAAATGTATGAATTATTTTGATTGTTTTCAGAGCAAGATGTTAAATTTTTAACCATCACTGGTCATCAAATAATATTTATAAGAAAATTACACATATCAGAAATTTGGACTTGTATGTAAATTTACTGCATTTATATTATATTTCCAGTAATTGTAATTATAAGGAGTGTTTATCTATATGAGTAATTGGCCGGTCCATACCCGTTTTTGTCGAATCCTATATTTATGTGTTTACATGTTATTCAACATTATTTCAAAATGAATAACCATATCTATTATTTTAAACTGATCCGATACACTAAAGGATTCTTTTTTATGCAATTTGTTGTTTCATCTTTCCCGATACATGATATATATATTGCTCTGTGTTTTTATTTTCAAAATTTATTTTGAGTAATAAACTATTAATATGGGATGTAAAAACTAAATTTTAATCTGGTTCTTATAGAGAAATATGAAAGGAACAAAGTAAATAAGACTTGAAATTATTTTCTGGTCATCAATGGGAATCTGTCACGATGTTTTCATTGTCATTTATAAAATTATAGAATATATTTATGTAAATTCTGTGTTCTGACCACTGAATAAAAAAAAACAAAAAAACAAAAAAAACCCAAAAAACCTCAACAAATATTTAGAGCTCTTGTGCTGTAAAAAATAATGGATGTGTTCCTAGACAGCTCCTTTAAAACTCAAGAATAGCACTGTAGGTCAAATCTAATTTAATTTACAAAATTCTTTTTAGATATTATATCTAAGAATCAATCAAAAGAAATTAAGTTTAGTCGAAAATATTCACTTGTTTCATAACCTTATTTTACTAATAGTGATTTCCAAGTGTTAAAACAGAACTTCCTATTCACATGTGCAAAAATGCAGCACCTGCATCTTCGTTTTCCTTCCGCGGAATGAAAAAGTGCAGAAGAGTTCATTTGTGATTAAATTCAAATTAACATCTTTCAAAAGTTCTTCAACTTTTTCAAAATAGTTTGGATCTTCATAAAACTTCAGAACTCCATGATACATTGAACTTACAAATTAATTAGAAAGTTTTTGTGTTATTTTTTGCGCAATTTTATGCTTTTAATTAATAGGTAAAATGCATATGAGTTTTTTTTGTGAAGATGAAAATAAATGCAGGTAGTCAATATCAAAAACTTTTTCAAAACATCTTCGAAATTCATGAAATTTGCCAGTCAGCTCAAATATATTCTAGTTTGAAAATGCAACATTTTCGTTTTATTTTTTATATTTTTTTTTCGTTTTAAAAATGGACTGTTTGCTATGTGCACCGCCAAATAAATAATTGAGAATGGAAACGGATAATGTGTCAAAGAGACAACATCCCTACTAAAGGCCACACATGGGTATTTATTACTAGTACTTTAACACAGCTAGAAAAATACATTACCCGTAGGCAGTCTTAAGCTGATCCCTAATCAATAATATGTACTAGTTCGGAGAAAAAGGCATCCACTAAACTCCGAAACATATAAATAAAAACAAAAACATACAAAACTAACAAAGGCCAGAGGTTCCTGACTTGGGACAGGCGGGTTTTGACATGTTTTGTGAGATCTCAACCCTCCCCTATACCTCTAGCCAATGTCTGTTTAAAAAAACCAAATCAACGTTTTGCTCCGCTAATTGTTTGCATGAACAAAGTATGTCCCCGTATATATTTGCACCGGTCCCACACTCAGATAAATATTGCACTGTCTTTTATTAAGGGATATTTTTACTGGCAAGAACTGTGTTAATACCTGCACTGGAAGACTGTACGGCGGTAGTTAGTAATATTATGTTTTATAGCATACGTTTCCGACATAAACTGATAAAGCTTCATACTTGTCTTTGATGTGTCTACATGTTTTTATATCTCTGGCAACTATGTAAGATTTAAGAGTTCCGAGTGAGGGTATACACAGCATAGCTATTTGGATGCGCGATATTTATAAAGTGTTTTATTATATGACTAAATACCAATGACATAGGTTCACGACGTTAAGTAAATTCTCGTTTTTTTTCTTTTTCTTCTTCGTGTTTGTTTCTCTGCTCTTCTTTTGTTTTTGTATATGTTTTTAGTTAACTTTATTGAATATTTCAACTTATGAAAATAACCAACTGCAAAAGCACATGATATACTTAATATAAAAACAGGGAGCAGTTTTAAAAGTGATCAAAAGTATCTTGAGAAAATACTAGAAAATTGGAGAAGGATAAAAAGTCATATAATAAAACAATTGTTAACTTTCAATTTCAGTTGATAGAGTGATTTATCAACGCCAGAGATATGACATTCACCCTCGGCCGTTGGGGTTGATAAATCATTGCATCAACCTCATCAAAATTCAATAATTGTATAATATTTACATAAAAGCTACAATGGTACACTTACTCCTTTGATAAAATACCAAAATACAATAATGTGATAATACAATATAGTGTACTCTCTGTGATAAAAGCAATTAATATATATAAATAATTATGATGTTTTTTAAGGAAACACGATTCGAAGTTTTCAACGTTTTTCGTTATGGCTTTCGTGATCACTGCATATCGGATTGCAGCTTTCGGCAGCTTAGTCTGATATATGAAAAAGACTATTACGCTAGACAGCCAATAAATTAAGCACAACGTATCATCATTTTCAAATGTTTTTTATTATTAATATTAGTATATTTGTCATAAAATGCTTTTTTGTAGGAAGACGAGAAGGTTCTTTGGGAAATTAATCACATAGTTATTGTGTCCGTATATTCCAAATATTTTATTCCTTTCGCAAAGTCTGAACTTGTCACTCAAAAACAAAATTATGTATATTGAAGAAGAGCAAAGATATGATTTTTAAATGTACAAATCTGTCCTTATTCGTATGAAAGAAATTTGTGTTCAAAACATGCATTGGTATATTATGTATTTTTAAACAATAAGTTTTTGTTCAAATCGAGGTCGCCACAAAGTGACTTCATGTGCACTCACACGTATCTTCTCACAACGTATCATAAAAACGAAAAATTCAAAGTTCAGTATCGTAATCGAATCAAATAAAACATAGATTAAGACTATGAAGCAAACTATATGTCTTCAGATCGGTAACTAGTAAGAGACGGTCACTGGTCCTCAACCTGTACTAAATGGTAAAAACAGTAAAATTTGATTAGCAAAAAAGGCCAAGAAACTTTTTTAAACAGCAGTGTACAGTTTCCCGTATAATAATTAAGTTATCAATTGACAAGTTAGAGAGTATTTACTGGCGTAACTAAAGACATTAACGAACTTGCTGAACCCAGCATCATATGCATATGCCTGTCACAAGTCAGGAACCTCGTTAGGGGTTGTTTTATGTCGTATCTTAGTATTATGTTATAAGGAGAATATATGTGGATAGCATATTTCTGATAATTTCTGTTGATCTTTTGATTTCTTTTATTAATGACATTTTTGGGTGGCTATTTCTCTGATGTGTACCCAAAATCTCCTCTTACTCGTTCACATCTGTACCTACTACAATATGTTGCAAATAGGAGACTTCACCATGACTTGAATACAACACGCATCTCTGTACGTACCAGAATATTTTGAGTGAAATTATGGCAAAGAGATATGAATTTTCCTAGACAGGGTATTCAGTTGTAACTGGAATATAATATATAAAATATATTACTTTGATATCTGTAGTTACCAGGATACTTATATCTTAAGACAGGAATTACCACTAATACTAGAAGAAAAATTTGACCCCTGTACTTACCAGAACATCATTGGAAATAGAGATTAAACTTAGCCTGGAATACAACTTTGATCATTGTGCTTACCAGGATATCTTGGGAACAAGAGATTCCACTGAGACTGGTTTATTCTGTTTTTTAATTTAAGGTCTCTCAATTTGTTATACTCCTTCTTTATTGAGGCTTCGAGACATTGTGGAGCATATTCGCCATCAAACAAAGCTCTTGCTGCACGTGGAGAAATACCTGTCAGTAATAAGCTCATTCTAACATAATTTTCTTCCTCTTCTGATAAAGCTGCCGCTGCCATCTTGTTTGTCTGTTTAAATCAGGTAATATTTTGTCACTTTGTATAGAATTATAAGTGATTTGTTTATGCAAGTATCGTTACAATAATATTTTGTCGGTAGAAAATTTGTTCTTAGATCCTTATTCCATGCAGATTGTCTTTAACAAAATACATAGCGCCTCTAAAAAGTGTACATGTTTCCAACACAGAATTCGGAGAACATATCCTAAAATAGAAATAAGTAAACCAATAAGTGAATACTATTAGTATTCATCTACAGTTATTTAGTAGAGATCTTTGTCCTTTAGCATAAAATATTGTAAAATTGTCTGAAGTATTTTAATTACTTTTTTTTGTTCTTGGTTGATATATTTTTGTTGAAACAAATGATGTCATTTCATACTGTTTTATTCAGGTGCCAGCTGAAGCCGGCATTTCTCGCTGCGTTGACGCCCCATTTGTTGGCTTAGACTGTTTTCCTCTCTTTTGTCGGCTTGTATTCTCTTTGACAAATTCCCCGTTTCCATTCTCATTTTATTGTTTGATATGACGTAACTGCAAGCTGTTTCCTGACAAATCAAAGATTTGTGCTTCTTTAGATTTGTATATATCATTATTCAAACAGATAGAAAGATGAATAACTTTAATACATTTTACCCTGGCCATCTCATACAAACAGTTAATGATTTATTTCAATTAGGTTTTCAGTGGGGAACATAAAAATTAAACCAACAAGCAAAGAGGGGTGAAAGAATATCATAAATCGAAATAAACTGACAACGACATGGCTAAAAAGAAAAAGACAAACAGACAAATAATAGTACACAATAACACAACATCGAAAAATAAAGACCAAGCAACACGAACCCCACCAAAAACTGGGGGTGATCTCAGATGCTCCAGAAGGGTAAGCAGATCCTGCTCCACATGTGGCACCCGTCGTGTTGCCCATGTTATTACAAACCCGGTAATAAGTCTAATTCGGTAGGTCACATTCGTGAAAAGAGAACGGGATTGTGGTTACGACATCAGGAACATATCGCTATCATCTGTGAAACGGATATTCCATAACAGTCAACCAACTCGTGATGGCGTCCGTAAAATTTACGAAGGGTTGATTTCACCTTCACTATTTGGAACTCTTGGTTTAATAGCTTCCTCATGAGGAGCAATCCTCTATCAAGGAAATACTGACAGGAAATAAAAGCCCGCGAATATCATATAAATTAGGAGATATATACTCTGTATGCATGCGCTGCTGGAATGTTGCTACATAGAAGTGGAAAGTTCACAATTGGAAAGCTGAAATCATCTCTTTTGTCGTAAAGTTTTGTTTCCAACCAACCCTCATTGTCAATTTCTAGATGTGAGTCAAGATATGAGTCAGACTTAACTGTATCTGTTGTATCTTTTATCTCTAGTTTGACGGGATAGATGAGTTGAACATAGTCACCAAATTTTGAATTATATAGTAAGGTAAAAGAACATCATCTGTATAGTGGAAAGTAAAGTTTAAGGGTAATGCTAACTTCTTTTATTTCTTCCTAAGAAGTTTCTGTATGAAGTCAGCCTCATAAGAATAAAAAAACAAGTTGACAAGAAAAGGGGCACCGTTGGTTTACATGGGAATCCCGATAGTTTGTTAAAAAACACGTCCTCCAAACGTAACAAATATGTTGTCAATCAAGAAATCAAGCATCTTGATAATGTCGGTTTCACAGAATTTTTTGTTTGAATCAGAGTGATTTTTTACAAAGTAAGATTTATCCCTCCTTAAGACAAGATATTTGTATCTACGTTGGCCATTCTATTTGACTATTGAGGTAAAAAAAATAATACAATACACGTTTCCTTAATATTTCCAAAGCAATTCAAACAAAGTATTTAAAAACGAGATTTAAAAGCTACCATTTTTTTTTCATCGAGTTAAGCTTGTCTTTTTTAGTCCAACAAACAATATGTGTTCCTTAGTTCTTGTGTGAAATGTGTGACATGTGAATTTTGCGTCCATTTAGGTATTTGTTGTTATTTAATCAATATCAAACATGAAGTTAGTAGCAGTTTTGATATTGAAGCTGATAGAAAAGGGGTATTTAAAGTAGCGATAACCATATATAAAAAAGTTGTTATGAAAAAGCGACCATATACAATGTATAAGTAAACAAAAAAGAGAGTGACATTTTTTCCATGTTCCTTAAGAGAAGCCATCTTCTTTAACACCCATAATTATGGTAAAATGATTAATTTATAATTAATCATTTTACCATAATTATGGGTGTTAAAGAAGATGGCTTTTTGTAAATCATTGTTATTGTTAAAATGTGTAATTACTGCAATGATGATAATAATTAATAAACGTGCCAAAATGATTTAAAGAATAGTCTTATAAAGACTAATTACTTATCCTTAACGACTTGTCAGTTAAGATTTGACAAGCACAATGCAACTGATAAGACGCCTGATGAATTTCTATAATCATTTAATCTTAAAATTTCATACATCAAAACACAATTGGACATAGCGTACCTTATCTTCCGATTTTTAATTTATTTAATGGATATGTCATATTAATTATTTTTTTATTTTGTATTTTGTATGATAATATGTCTCAACAGATATTTAAAGGAGGTTAAAAGCAAAAGGAAATATGATATGACGATAATCAATGTATCGGAAGTTTAAAAATAAATTTTAATGAAATGCTCAAAAACCAAATATGCTACATTCGAAGTACTAGTATGTAAATTAACACTAGCAAGATTCAGAGAGTGAAGGGTAACGATGTACATTTTTATGAAAATCTTTAAGTATTCGAGAGCAAATTGCTATAATGGCGAACATAATGATTTGAATATGTAATCCAATTTCAGTATATAGTCAAATTGCTCGAGATAGTTTTTGATCCTTTGCTTCAGAAAAGACCTTTTAAATCAATGAGACATCAAGTATGAATTGTAAAGTACTTTGTAAACAATTATATATAAATCGCAATACAAAACGTATTCATTATAAAAAATCCTTTGTAATCAATTAATGTATTAAAATTAAGAGACGATTGTTTTGTAGGTTGGTATACTAACCAGAAAGAAAATAAAATCAATACCCATTTCAAGTTTTAATTTTTTTACGATTAGAAAATAACTACATAAAGCGTCCGTTATTTTGCATTTTTTGTAATGACAAAACTATTATTTTTTATCTATTTTTTTAAAAGAGCAATCTCTTGAGGACTCGTTTATCGTTTTACATATAACTAATTGTAGAATAAAACGGATTCGTTTTGGAATCTATTTGAATTCATATTTTTTGAATGTTAATACAATCTAATATGAGGAAAAACTACATAACACAGATGTATAAAAAGATTCAGAAATTTATTTTGGCATACTAAAATCATTTTTCTCATATAAGATGCACATAAATGACAGCATGTTCTCTCTTTGACAACGTTTCACCAATATAAATGTAAGATGTGGTATGATCGCCAATGAGACATTTATCCACCAGAGACCAAAAGGAATGAGTGTGCATTACTCTGGGTCACCGTACGGCCTTCATCAAAGAACAAAACTCATATCGAAATGACATAATTTAAAACAACTAAAACGAAAAGAAAAAGACATAATTTATATAAAAACGATAAACGAAAATTAGATATGAAATATTTTCAGAAGAAATTTGACTAAATTGGCCTCTTCTACTGCGTTAAGCTTTACGTGATCGATATTATTAGGGTGTGGTTAATCCTAATAATTTGGCCCACATTTCCTTTCTATCAATATCTTCCAACTTCTATCAAAATTGCAATTTTGACCCCAATCGTCGCATGTTCAGGCATTTTTCTATTACTTAGCCACATATTGATGAATACACTATTTGCTTAATCAAAGAACTGTTAAGCGCTTAGGCATATGATTTTGATATGTATATTTTATTGTCTGCACAGAATATTGAATTTTCTATCTGTGTTCATCATTCTAAGCATCACCCAGATATGATGATATTTATCAACTTTGTTTTATATGGATGGTGAAATAAGGAATTGTTTATGACTTGATAGATTCACACCAAACTGTAACATTATTTTGGCATGGTAAATACTGAAATCAGGACATATACACAAACAATTTAATCATTTAAAAAGACAACTCCGGAAAAAATACGACTTGATAGATTCACACCAAACTATAACATTATTTTGGCATGGTAAATACTGTAATCAGGACATATACACAAACAATATATTCATTTAAAAAGACAACTCGGGAAAAATATATTTATTTATTTTCGGGCTTTTCGTTTCTGAGATGCTCGTAAATAATACTTTTTTCACGGAAATAAAATTCTGCTTTGCTTTACGAGATATCAACTTCACTTAACTTGATTAAATGTGTTTTCCAAAAGTTGTTTTTGACATTCTTTTGTGTTTATTGTTTGAAATTAAAGCAGATACTTCCAATAATTTGCAATCGTATTCATTACCAAATTACAATTTTAAGCATGTAATAAAACTGATGAAAAAAAACACAATTTACTTAATAAACATCTGACCCATATATAAATCTGTACTTAATACATTATAAAACTTTTAAATAAGACCCCGAATTAAATGATTAAAATTCGATTACGCTGTAGTGCGTCTTTTGATAAAAAAAATCAATGTACAACACTTGTTCTGCGTGCTCGAGTTAACTTCAATACCCTTTTGTTATCAGAAATATTTGATTATAGATTAAAAAATATTTTTTGTAAGGATTTCAAATTTTAGATATCATTTCTTCCTGAAACACAAATTCAATCGTGCCAATTAATGTTTGGCAAGCTGAATTTAAAGATGTGTCCTATAACATTAACTATAGAACCGATAATTGATATCTTTTAAATGTTTCCAAATATTTGAATAACAATTGTTAAAGTAATTGTCATGAACGTTTATTATCACACAACGACTTGTTAATTAAGATTTTACAAGCACGAAGCAACTGATTAAACACCTGGTGGAATTTCTGTAGTCGTTTATTTTAAAAAGAGATATTTCCGAAAACCATGCAACAAAATGGACCTTATCTCAAAAATCCATTTTTTTATTTAATCAATATATCATATATTTTATAGTTTTTTTTAAATTTTATATGATAACAATGCATTGTAGGTCATGCTGGATAACGTGATGATATATAGGACGAAAAAGGAATACAATAAGAATTTTAAAATGTAACG